TCATCTACATTGTCTCTGGTAGGGTTGAGGGCAGAATTGGTGGAGGCAGAATGTGTAAGCACAGATGAAAAGCATGTGGGATTTCCTGTAACGTCTATCAGCCAGTCCACTGTAAAATAAGTAGTGCTCATTACCATTTCAATAATGGATAAAAATTGTCTGTAACTGACAAAAAGGGTTATCTCTATTATCATTTTCATCTGCCCTGAAGTGATGGCATGAATCTCCATGTCTCAGTGCATGGGATGGGATGGATATGCACTTGTTTGTACTCTCTGATTTTGGTGTAAGCACAGTACAAAATACAACATGTTATGTTGTTTTAGTTTAACAAATCTTATTCATCTCATCTTACAATTGTTTTCTTTTTCCTGTTTTATCACTTCACTGTCAAAGTTGTTCATTTCTTCATCACTTCACTTCATATCTCTCACTCTCTCACAGACACTTTAAACACACACGTGAACAGCTGCTTGCTGTGTCTCAGTTTTTAGTGAATCCCTGTAGAGTGGTGAATATAACTGCCACCAAAGCATTTACCTAAGCTCAGCGCACACACACACACACACACACACACACACACACACACACACACACACACACACACACACTTAAAACCAACAAAGACACAAAGCACAAAGATGCACATACACACAATGTCACACACATGCCCAGCTGGTAATGTTGTTGAGATAAAAAAAAAGACGTCAGAAAGACAAGAGGACAACCAGTCAGCTGGGAAAAGAGTAGGTGTGTATGTGTGTGTCTTTGATTATGTGTGTGCTTGCTGCCCTAACATCCACATGTGTGTGTCCACAGGGGAACACTGTGCACTGTGTGAGAAAGTCAATCCACTGTGATTTCATCTCTCGACATGACATATAGTCTGGCCCCTCTGGAGCACAAAGTGTGCCGTGCACACACACACACACACACACACACACACACACACACACACTTCCTGCGTGCTTCCTGAGTGTTTGTGTGTACTAGAGCCCAACCAATACTGGATTTTTGAGGCTGATACTGTTTATTGAGAGTTTTTTCGAGAGCTGATGTTGTTTTTCAAAGAAGGCATAACATCAAACATATTAGGATCATTTAACTTGAGTTATTCAAGAGTTGTGACCTTGATATTGAGTAGGAATTCACAATTCACAAAATATATCTTTGATTGCTAAAATAGCCTGTCAATGATGACTCAGTATGAATATATCCCTCATTTGCAGAAACTTTTTGTCTCCTTCAGAGATGCAGGCTGCAGCAAAGCTTTCTCCAACCATTAAACACAATCAGAAACACATTTTCAAACATATCTTTGGCATTTCTTCTCTGCAATATCTTGTAATTTATTGATCAACACATATACAGATACCAATATATATCTGCGTTAAGCTAAGATTGTCCAGAGCAACCTTTGTTAATGAGTATGTCAGCTTTTATGTGCTTTCTACTTTCTGTGTGAGTGCATGTGCGCTCACATGTGTGCAACCAGTCTGTGTCTATGAAAGCTGCTTCAGTGTGCATGTGTGTTTGCTGGTATGCATGCACACAATTTGTGTATGTGTGCACTTTGTGCCAAACCCCTTGTAATATATTCAGGTATTTAAAAGTGTTTGGTTTGTTTAAAGTTGTGGAGGGGTTTTGGTCTCCTAGAGAGCTCGGATAACCCTAATCCACAACACACATTTTTATCAGTAGTTCATTGGCAGGACTAAATATTGACTTATCATTAAGTGGAATGACTGAAACCCTAATAATAATTCACGTTGTCTAAGCACCTTGTGTTGACGCAGCGCTCCCGACGCTATTAACGAATGTATGCAAATCCAACGTAAATCTGAAGATTAGGGCCAAAGCATTCTGCGATGCAAGAGAGAAAACAAGAGGTGTGTGATAAAATGTTGTCAACACATACACGCACATACATACGCACGCACAAACACACGCACGCACAAACACACACGGTTTATAGGGAAAACAGGAGGTGTGTGTTTCAAAACGTTAACACAAATGACAAGCATGTCACACACACCCATACACAGATAACGCTTACAAAGACAGGGATTGGATTTCTGCTGAATGGGTGATAATACAATAGTGAAGTTTAGTTGCAGAACAGTAAACAAACAGTGTAGACCTATGAACTGAGTGGATGAGAGAGAGATGGAGAGAGCTGTGGTAGATGGAAAAGAGGGAGGGGAAACAAGATGAAGATGTAAAGATAATGAGGAGAAAAGAGGATACGAGATGAACAAGTAGAGTCATCATCAAGAGAAATGTAAGAAGGATGAAGAGTTTGAGAGGAAAAGGATTAAAGCATTGAGGAGAGAGAAAAGGAGGACGTAAGAGAAGGTAGAAGGTGGATAAACTTATAGATAGGTAGTATACTGTAGATGTTAGGCTTGGAGGGAAAAAAAGTGACTAGAGAACTCCAGAGCAGGTTACTAATTATAAAGTTGGCATTTCTGAGAGTTTAGAAATGGCATGAGAGTGAATCAAGATATGCAGAGAGTTTGAACAGCGCCATGTTGAACGATGCATGGACAGATTGTTGGACTGCCTGAGAGTAAATGGAGGCAAATGAGCAAAAAATTGTGAGTCGTAGAGGGCCTGGTGTCCGGGTGGAAGGGAGGAGTAGAGGTGAGGAGGACGAGGGATGAGTGGAGAGGAGCTATTTTGGAAAAGTGTTGAGCTGTTTATTTGCGCGTCATTGAAGCTGAAGTAAGGCGCTAGGGGAATTGGCCACCAAGCCCCCTCTCTGCAACAGCTGCCGCTGCTAAGTGAGTTACTAGCCGTCAGACTGCCTTTATGTCACACAATCACACACACATACACATGCATTTTCCCGTCACATGTTGCCTGTGATGGATGCTGTGAGGATAATGCACGGCAACAGCACAGGAGAAAATATGTGCCATTCTCCACTTTTGGCCTTTAAGTGAAATGATTGCTTAAATTAACAGCATTTCATGTGCGCAAAGAGTGAACGCTGATTAGGTTGTTAAGTAAGTTATTTATCACTCCACAACTAGCTGCAGCCCCATTGAAGGGCGAGGCCATGATACAAAGCAATGACTTAGTGTTTAATGTCTGCTGTCAAATAAAATGGGCAACACAGCTGGAGGTAGATAGTGCCGCAGATCAGCATGCCATCAACTCTTAGTTAGAATTTGCTAAATAGCTCATGAAAGTTAGATTATTTCAACTCTAAACTAAATAATCACAAAAGACGGAGGGGTTCTTACAGTATTTCAGTCTGATTCAAAATGAGAAGCTTTTACTATTGGACTCTCATTAAAATACGATTTGTCCTTTCTCCATCAGCACAGTTATGGTATTTTAGTCAAGCCGTGCCGTGCCGTGCCATGCTCATTTGTATTTGCAGTGCATCCTCACAGCAGGAGGTTACTTTGCTGACTCAGTGTTAAAGCAGGACAATATTATAGCCTTAATCCATTGCAAGGCCAAAGCTTGACAGTCCCCGCCCTCAACTAAGCTAAGAAGTTAGAGTAACCAGATTGGCTCAACTGGAGAGAAATCACCATGTTTATTCTCGACTGTATCTTCAGCCAACATTAGTATAGTAGCTCCTACGTAAGAGCTGCTGCGAGTTTAGTTTAACCCTCATGTCCATGACCTAACCTTAAAAAAACAGTGTGTGGGATTTAGTGACATCTAGCGGTGAAGTTGCAGATTGCAACTAACTGAACACTGCTCGCGTATGTATTGATGACCTGGGAGTGAGAAGGGGGGGAGAAGAAACTACAGTGGTAAAGAAATAAAGCTACCCCAACTACAAACTTTGCCAGAGCAATGAATAGCCGAGTAAAGCTTTTCTAACCAGAATAAAGTGGAGCTTTTACAGATTCTGTAGACCAAGACATTGTTTTCTCCTCCCAGAATGAGTCTTCCTGCCTCAAATCTGCAGGTTTTAATCTACAGTTTTAATTTGTCAATCATTCTCAATTGATTTGACATTAAATATGAAGCACTTCAGAATGTGAAGAAACATGCTTGAAATTTGATATTCAGCTGCAAAACAATTTTACAGGGAAATAGAGTGATAGCATGTATTTTAAATGTCACCTTGCTGAAGGTGAAGTGGTGGCAGAAAGACATCACCTATCACTGTCAGAGATGGCAGCTCTCAGAAAAAAGCACACTTCCTTCCCACTACATTCTTTCAACAGCATTGCCTGAATATTACTGCTGTATGAAGAGATGAATGCAGGAGAGGAAAAGAGGCATGCGGGGGAGGAGAAGAGAGGAGGATGTATATAAGAGTTGATAAGAGAAGATGCACACTAATATTCAGAGCGGCCTAAATACTGTTTCTGTACAGATGGGAAAAAGGGATTGAAAGGAGGGGGAAAGGGGATTTTGGGATGTTTAGACGAGAGACAGTGCAGCCCAACTGTGCCTGGATATATACAAGAGGAGGTATAAAACAAGAGGAGGTGAAGGGAAGGTGAAAAGGTTATGGAGGGAGGAGGACAAGACAAAAGACAGAAAACGTGAGGCGGTGGAGGAAAGAGGTAGAATAATAGGATGAGTTGAGAAGCAGACGAGGACAAGAACAGGTTAAGGGAAAGAATAGAAAGGTCAATATTCTTTGTAATACAGGGACACATACAGTGATTTCAGACATTACTGTTGAATGTAGAAATATAACCACATCGTGTAAATAATAGAGATGACCCCAGGAGTCTTGCAGAAGCTTGTCTTTTTTTAGTATTTGTTGCTGTGGGAGCATTCATGAATGGAGCAGTGTCACTGAAATCATGACGTCCTTGGCGATTCACAATATTTCTTAAACAACTGTACAACCAATATGATTTGGACCTAAATTTGTAGCAAAATTTGATTTCAAAAACTTAAAACTGATTCATTAGAGACTTAAAACACACACTCGTCATAAAAAACAATTTCCTGCTACAGTAAGATCAAAAATTAAAATGCATATGAAACACCAATATGATGCATATCTTCTTCTTTAGGTTTTGTCTGCTGTGGTCAGGAGTATATTAACTCTTCAACCTCTCTTTGCTGTGTGGACAATGACGGATATCCCACAATACACCCTGCTGGCAATGCTACAGTGACATTGCAGTGCTGTGGGTCAAAGGTCATACATCAAGAAGAGGAATGCTGCAACGGGATTGGCTATGACCCCCAAAGACACGTGTGTGCTGACCAACCCACGCCGGGCCTGTTAATACAGGTACGTATGTATGTGAGATAATGTGTGGGACTATTTGCTAAGACGTGTGCTATAGATGAGGAAATCTTAGGCACTGTGTTCTGTCAACCAAGTTTTCTACAGCTCTCTTACACTTTCTTTGTATTATTTCATGTCCACTGGAAGCACCGTGTAGTGTTCCACTTGTGCCATATGTCCGTCACATCTTCCCTGCGGTTTAAATGTCCACTATAAGGGCATCTTAAATGTCCACTATAAGGGCATCTTCTAGCAGTCTGAGTCTGCAGCAGCCACGTTTACAATATTGGTAGCATTGTTTTGCTGTCATTTTTTGTGTTTTACAAGCACATTTGAAGCTAATTTATTATCGTTTTGGTAACGGGTTTAAGGCTGTAGTTTACTCATTTTAAATAGTGCATATATAATATAATAATATAAGGAGAACATAACATTCCATGTCCTTCTGTATAAACATTAGAGGAGAAGTGACATAAATTAACAGGGGAAAGTTTAATTCACCATCTGACAAATTAAAAAACAACTGAATTGCACCTATAGATATGACATTTAACACATTTAATTGTCAATAAATGCAGGCATTAAATTAATAAGTGACTTCCACACTTCAGAAATGCAAGCTAGTCTGGCAGAAAAAAGATTTGGCGCTAACACGTCGACTGGATATCGGACTCTCTTTCTCTCTCTCTCTCTCTCTCTCTCTCTCTCTCTCTCTCTCTCTCTCTCTCTCACCATCTCTCCCTCCATCTCTCAAACTCACACTCATTGTCACATCAGGAGTTGGGGACTGGGCCATCGTCCATTTATCAACTGGGGTCATGTGATGTTTGTGTGTTCCTAAGTCAGCATGAGACAGGCACACACATACACGCACAGAGGCACACATGCACAGGGACAAAGGGTAGGAATTCTCATTAGCTCTAATGATGTCATTAAGGACCATGCATACCACACACACGCACACAAACACGTACATAGCTACATTCTGCATGTATATGAGAGACACTTCAGAGTTTATATGATTTTTGCTTACAACATGTAACATAATAGTAAACTTCTATCAAATAAGTTTCTGTGGTAGAAATCTGTCTGTGCAGTGCAATCATGAAGATGAATTACTTAAAGAAAATAAAGATTTTGAACCTCATAGTTTCCCTTTTCTCCCTTTTTGTCTCCTCTCCTGCTCTCTTTCTATTTAACTCCCCCCTCTTCCCATCTCTTCTTTTCCTCTCCACTCTCCATCTTTATCTATCCTTGTGCAGCACATGTGTTTGCAGGGCGCTGTGTGTCCCGTGGCTGCAGCATCCACAGCTTATTGTGGCTCCTGTGACCTCGATCCATCTATGACCGCTTGCACATGGGTCCTGTCTGTGCACACACAGCCTGACACACCCTCCACAACATACTCACCTTCCATCAACACCACACATGAAACTCTCACCACGGGCCTCTCTACACGTATGAACACAAGTGATAACACACACAAAATGCAATTCGAGGGAGGCCTGTGCCCATCGCATGAGGAGGTAGTGTACAGCGGAGGAGCCAACAGATACACCTATACAGGTAATGTTTGAGTGTGTTCAGTGGAATAATAAATAATAAATAGAAGCACAGCACTAACCTAGCACAGTTCCATAGTTGATGTAGCCTTTCCATTTTTTTTTCTTCCTTTACCTAAGTACTGAATGTTTTGGTAACAAGCTTTTCTAATCTTTAGGGGACAACTACTGCTTTGATACAATTGTTTTGCCGATTCTTTGAAACAAATATACCTTTTTCTCATCGACTTTTTTTGTATCCCTCAATGCCTCCTGTATCCCTTCAAGTCTGACCAATTGCTGATTACACATTTTTCAGCCTCCTTTTCCCATCACTGCTCTTAACTGTGCTCTGCCTCAAACATGTAGGCTTGTTAGCGTTTGAAAACTAAAATCTTTAATTAAACACCTTACTCTTTCCCGTTAATGAGAAAGTTACCTCAGTGATATCACACAAGAGGTTTTATCAAACCTACAACTTTCTTTTACGTGCTGTTAAAACCTGATGACAAACTGAATGCCTTTTGTTTTTGACCACTTATAATATACTTGCATCCCTGCTTCTAACCTACTACTTTGCTGTAAATTAAGACTCTCGCTTCAGTTTTCCATGCCACTATGAAGAATAACTAATTCAGAATATAGCCATCTGTGAAACACACCGCTCATAGAAATTTTAAGCCTGCAAAAACCAATTCTGCATTTACTCTAAATGTGTCAGCCGCTGCAATCAACGGGCTTTAGAGACAGATGCCCTTCCACAGACACACACACACACACATACACACACACACACACACACCCACACTAAGGCAGCTGTTGCAGTGCTCACTGATAGCTGTAACGTGGTAACTCTCTCTGTGCTGTACACTTGTGTGTCATTAAAACTTAGAGATGGGCGTTTAAATGTCATTTCAACATTTTCTACTATTTATCAGCCCAAAGGGAGTTGGAGTGTATATCTGTGTGTGTTAGTGTTTGTGGGCGTGTGTCTCAGGATTTTCTGTCTGTCCACACATTATTTATCTGGGTAGTTACATCTGTTTAATCAAGACTAATTGTGGCTGTGGATGTTTTGTGTGTATGCGTTGTGCACTAATAATTACATGTGTTTTGTGTGTGTGTTAGTGTCAACTTAGTTGCTATATAAGTATGCCTCTGTAGAGAATGTGGTTGTGTGTATGTATCTTTTATCCACTGTGTGCGTGTGTGTGTGTGTGTGTGTGTGTGTGTGTGTGTGTGTGTGTGTGTGTGTGTGTGTGTGTGTGTGTGTGTGGCATGGGGCGCTTAGGATAAGAGTTTCTAGGCAATGCTGTGACACCATCTGGGCAGAGGCACATAAAGCTGTCGCCACCTACCATACACCAGATGTTTCTCATGTGCACACACACACACACACACACACACACACACACACACATAGGGTATCATGCTATACTTCTCTGGGAAAAAGACGTTAGGTAGATCACACACAGTTTGCTCAGCATGTGCAATGAGTGCTATAAATATATACTGTATTATCCACACCCAGTTTATATTTATACTTGTTGAATTAGTTCTTAATGAAACACAAAAACTAGGCATGTGTTCATGCAAGCACATTCAGTTTTTTATTTACTTGTGTGTCACCGTGTGTGTTTTGCTGCTTCAGTTATCACAGTAGTAAAGACAAGAGTCCCAGACTGGTGGTTAAAACATGGTCTCATTTACAGCAACAGTCCCTTAACACTACTAAAAATAATGCACATGTGTGTGAGGGTGTGCAAGCACATCTGTATGTATATATGCTCCTGTATGTATACCTCAACAGAAGGTGTGTCACAACCTGTCTCCCAGAATGTTTCAGTCCTGGCCTGACATTTACAACTATGCACCAGTGCTAGTGCATATATTTAGTATATGTCCATATAACATGTGCTTACATTGGCAGTACAACTCCCAGTACACACATTTTCAAAGATGAAACTATTGTTGCAAAACATCATTTTAGATAAACATATGTGCCATATGTTTTATGAATGGTGTATAGTGCGCATGTTGTACAAAAGATTTTAAGGCCCTCAATTATTTTGGTTCATACTGTCTTTAATGCTTGGTGAGGAGTACACAGTGTATTGTTAATCCCTTATATTCATTTTGCTAGAGCCATTGAACATATTATCCCATTTATAAAATGTTCATTAAAATTTAAAACAAAATGGACAAAGGCACCAAAGATTCAAGTATCAGGTTCAATTCCCATAGTTTTTCCTTTTATTAAAATATATTAGCTGTTTCAGATAGAGCTTGCAACAAATTTACAGCATGGTTGTTTGCATGCTGGAGCTTATACTACATGTGCACTTACAGTATTACTCACTTAGTAATCACAAGTAAAGGCAGTGTTGCTAAAGGAAATAGTCATTAACCAATGTATTGACAATCTTACTGACAGATGTGTTGATTATTTCCTTTGCTCCCCTTCTTTCGTCCTTCCAACCTTCCTTGCTCTCTAATAGACTCTGACCTGGAGCCCTTCACCACCTATGAGTACAGGGTGAGGGGCTGGAACAGCTTTGGAAGAGGCTCCAGTGATGTTGCAACAGTGACCACCACTGAAGACAAACCATGGGGAGTTGCACCGCCCCGTTGGAGTCGCTTAGGAGAACTAGATGACATCATCCAGCTGCAGTGGCAACCACCTGCCAGGCCTAATGGGTGTGTGTGTGTGTGTGTGTGTGTGTGTGTGTGTGTGTGTGTGTGTGTGTGTGTGTGTGTCACTAAAACCCCTGAGATTTGCTTAAGTTAACTTCAGTTGAGGGTTATTCATGATTAATGTGGATATGGACGTAAAAATGAAAAAGACAACATGTTTTCTTTTAAATATTGAGAAAAACCTAACATTGGTTATCAAAAATTAAAGTACCTTTTCCATTTTACCAGGGGACATCACCCACTATGTTATACTCCGAGATGGACATGAGCGTTACCGTGGTGAAGAAAACAGTTTTACTGATGTGGGTGGGATCAGGCCTTTCCAGGAATACAGTTACCAGCTGAGGGTTTGTAACCGGGCTGGTTGTACTGACAGTTCACAGGTAAGACCACGTGTGTGTTTGCGCTGTTACAGTTGAGTCAGAATAACATTCTCTGTATCACAGTATTCATAGCTCATTAGCAGCTTATGTAGCTAACCTTATGCTTCCCTGTCCAATAAATATAATACCAAGTCTGCATCAGGAGATGGAACAGGGAGTTTGGAACATATATACACAAAAATGGGCATGTCTATTCATAAAGCTTGCAAACTCAGCATTAGCTATTCAGATAACCAATACGTGTCTGGCATTGATGATGCCCCATTGGTATGCTGTAGATATTTTGTTAAAAAATACAGTAAAATATTACCAATTACACCTTCAGTTGGAAATTGCTGTGTGATTGCCTCTGTCTTGCCAGCCTTCCGTGTAGAGCTTTCTCACTCACACACCAACAGACTCTCACACACACACACACACACACACACACACACACACACACACACACACACACACTTTCCAAAAGCGTACTATGTTGTAGCACCCCATTTCATAAAGACATTATCCCCCTGTATGATTATCTAATGGCTCCTCTAAAGATGGACTGAGCTTCACTGAACTAAGCACCACTTTACTCCATAGTTTAGTTCACTCCTTTAATTTAAGCTCAACACTTGAGGGAACTTGTGTAGAAAAGTATGCTGTGTGTGAAAGAGAGGGAGACAGAAATATGAAAAAACACATGAGAGAGAAAAAACATGTTTGTGTTTTCTATTTGTTAATCAGTTGTGTTGTTGTCTGTCAGTTTTTTTTTTTTCTTTCAAGAAACAGAAATCAGCTTCCTTGCCACTTGACCAAAACATAGCTAATCAGTACATTTACCATACCAGCTGACAGTGTACAGGAGCTGCTTTTATTGCTTGGACTCAACAACTCATACCCTTCTACACACCTGTCTGAATACATGCAAAGATCACTTTTCCTATTTTGTTCTGTCATGGAGAAATAGTCTGCTTCACATTGGATAAACTTACAACAGCAACCTTGCAGCATTGGTCTTCTGCAGCTGGCTGCTCATCTGATCCATTGTTTGGCCGGTGGCCTTTCAGCCAAACGCCCTTTTACCCTCTCGTAAAAACCTCCTCAGATGCTGATTTCCAAATGTTGTTTACATTGTAATTCAGGTGCTCAGTTGTTCTGCAAGTGATATTTTACAAATTCTAAACCTCTGACCTTTGTTGCTAGGAAATAACAGTGTGTGATGTTTCCACGCTGTGTGAACTCTGTACTGTTCCCGTGTCGGAACAAGTTTTTATTTAGCCCCGTTTCTGCTCTCCCCCTGTATGCGAGGCTCTGGATTTGCTGAGTCTACCTGATGTTTGTGATAGCGTCCATAATAGCTTCACACAGAACTCCCCCTGCTATCTCTCTGACTGTAGCCGAGCTGATATCACCACAACAATTAATTTCTCCGGCTTAGAGGTGATGAAAGCTCATGTTGAAAACTGTCTTTCTGGCTTTTTTTTTAAAGCTAATTTAACATCTCATTATTTTGATGAGCACATTCTTACGTAAAGACGAAGCCTGTAGATGTGTCACTGGAGGGATGGATGGGAGGTACAGTGTGCTGAACTGGTTGTGAGGGGTTGATAGATACATAGATGATGGATTAATGTATACAATAAATGAATGCTGAGGAGAATGATGACATGGATGAAATAGGAATGGATGATTGTGATAGAGGAAGGTCGTGGTAAATGGTTGGAAAGATGAAGGGAGAGAAAGAAGAGATTGTCACCATTCTAGTACTGTAGGCTTTCCCATATCTGTGTATAGGGATTCTGTTAGTGTTAAGCATTCATTTGTAAATGTATTACAGTGATACCATACGCTGATGTTTCTGGCCACCTGACAAATGTCCAGTATTCACTCAACATTTTGCTGTTAAGCTGTCTCTGAAGAAAATCATTTTAAGATGTGGTTCTTTTGCTCATTTACTTTAGTTCTCAACCATTTCACACTGGGCAATGTAAACCAGGTAGGGTAATTGGTGCTTACTTGAGCTTGTTTGCTGACGTCTGACTGAAATCAGACCGAAACCAGCTTATCACTGCAGGTGAAAGCTGTTTAGAGCAGAACTGGCTCTCGATTCTGAGTAAGGTCGGCCGTAGGAATAGGAGTAATAATTCAGTAATTTGTTCCTGTTGTCTGTTGTTTGATTTCAATTTGTGTAAACAGCTGTGAAATTGTAAAGTCCTAGAAGAAATAATTGAAGAAGAAAAAACTGTCATTACAAGTTCATTACTTAATAGTTGTGTCTGACATTAATTTATAGTGACTGTGTCGTGTGCGTAAGCACTTAACATTTTGCAAAAATCAAACAGAAAAAAGCCTACAGCATGATGCAAATTATGACCTCTCATAGTTTCTCGTAGCATGGAAGCTGACCACTAAATCATCTTGGCTGGAAACTTGTTTCCATTTCCATGACCAACAAGGGAACTCTGTATACATGTATACATTCACATACCCTCCTAAAGCCATATGCAGTTACACCACAAACTCAATCTCTGTCTTCCATTTTCTCTCTGTCTACCTCCCTCTCTCTCACACACACATACATATGTTTACAGAAACAAGCACACACACTCCAAGGGTGGAAAGGGAGTGAGTTGGATTAGTTTGTACACCAGTGAAAATTGGCCAAACAGTCCCAATTATGAGATAACTTGGGCTAACCTAATACACCACTGCAATTACCTGGCATCAGCCCACTCACATCACACACACACACACACACACACACACACACACAGGCACAAACACACAGACAAACAAACGCAGGCGCACACAAACGCACACCTGCTGTGACAACAGAAGGTGCTGATCTAATATGGTTGGTCACTTAGAGAGGGAGGAAGAGCGATTGGTCTTCTTCTGTCTTCAACTCCTTTTGTCCTGTTCCCTCTGCTATTTGTCTCCTGTCATTCCCTAGATCTCAACGCCGCACTCTTCAGTTTCTCCCAGCTATTGTTGTTCCTTTCTTAACCTCCCTCATCCTCACTCCTTCCCACTGTCCAAACACCAGTTTTCTCTTTTGCAACAACTGTCATCTGGTGTCCAACATCCGCCTTTCTCTCTTTCCTATATGTCTCTCACAATCCCATCTCTCTCTCTGTGCCGCCAAGTTTCCATTCCTTTGTATACACAAAGATGGGTTGGATGAAGAGCATCTTAGCAATGCATGCTTTCATGTATGCAGCTTTTTATTATATGTTAGTGAAATGTAAGCTGCTGTACTGCATTTTACTGAGCTGTTAATGATTCTGATTGGGATACATTTGAATGCAATCAATGTACTGCTCAACTCTGGGTCTTCATTTTTGTAAGTCAGTTAAATCATCCATCAAAAGTTAAGTGAGTTAAAGTTGTATTTAGGGTACACTTACATACAGTACATAGTTTTATGGCTTTTATTTCTTTCTTTTTTTTACATCACAGACATCCGAGTTAACAGCACACTGAAGCACTCACTGATCGTTACCAGACTTTCCCTGCATCTTCCTTATCTTCTTCTTCTGCTCCGCCTCCTTTGCCGTTTCCTCTCTTCCACCTCTTTGTGTTGCCGTGCGTACACCTGCATTCACCTGTGTGTGTTTATGTGTGTTCACGTGCGTGTGTGTCTCCTTAGTTGTAGTAGCAGTGTTCTAATTGCATAGCACTGTGTGGGACAGGTGGGGGAAGTGCTAGTGACAGTCTATTAAGGCAGGATATCCCTGTTGCCATTAGCAGCAGATTGCCCTGTGATTCTCTGGTCTCCACATTCACCCAGCGTTCACAGGGCCCACAGATACTACACTAAGAATTTACAATAAGATAGTAACTCGCAACACTGTACTAAAAAGCAATATTTTTTTTTTTTGCATGACCTGAGCTTGGGAATTGCTTGTTGTTTTTGTTTGTTTTCCCCATTTTGTACCAGTAATACGTGGTAATACTGCTGATCAGAACCTCAACATCCTATCATAATTTAGGTGCCTTGCATTGCTGAAGCAGCTTTCAGTTATTTTCTTTGTCATGCAGAGATGCTAAAGTGATGGAGTAGGTCTCCTGTATTCTCAAACTAGTGTACTGCTCTAGCTTTTTACACTATTTACAGAGTTCTTCCCTCGAGCGCAATAGGTTCTAGGAATAAAACATAGTGTATAAATTCTATAGTCTGCATGTTTTTTCCATAATGCAGGTTTTGGATAGTTTGTGTTTTGGCTTCATTTGTTCCCTGTTTTGGATGGATTTGGCAATAGGTTGTAACATTTCTGCTGTCACCAGCAAATGTCTTTCTCTGTTGTCAACAAGGTTTTTATTGCCTTAGAAAGAGAAGCCCTGAATTTGGAGGCAGTTTTTTATTGGGTTGTGACTGTGTTAATTACATTCATAAATGATCACAGCAGAAATCCATCTGTTATCCACACCTTTTAAATTCTGTAAAATACCAGAGATGTGTTGTATTTTCTATTTCTTCTGTTTTTATCTGTGTGTATGTCCATGTCCATGTGTGTGTTCAGGTCGTAGCAGTGACAGTCCAGGGTTTCCCAGAGGGCGTGCAGCCTCCATTGGTAAGAGCTTTAAGCCCCTCCTCCCTCCATGTGAGCTGGTCTGAACCTACTCGTCCCAGTGGAATAATACAGCGGTACCACCTGAACCAGACTGGTGTCGGAACCATATTCACACACAACGATGGGCCCAGGAGTTATACTGTGACTGGTAAATATTTCAGATTATCTGCCTCGCTTTTCCTTCACTTCCTCAACTCTCATTAAACCTCCTCTCCTCCTCCTGCAGCCCTCTGATTGCCCTTCCTTATTTCTCTCTCTCCTCCTCTTTCTTTTCTTCCTCTCCTCCTCCTGCTCCTGCAGCTTTCACTTCTTTCCCTGCCCTCTCGCCTCCTCACCTCACACTCCAGATATTATTCCCTCTATTTCTTTCCTTTTGTCATCTCTGAATCATCTTCTTTACCTCTCTGCTCCTCTCACTTCCTCTCTGCTTACCTGCCCTCTCTTCTTCTGTCCTCCCCCTCTTTTGTTTTTTTCCTTTGTCATGCATTTATTTATGTATGCCAGTTTCTGGAATCCATCTAATGACTGAATTTACACCTGATTCCCGCCAGTCTCTCTCTGGTCCACCCCTTACACACACACAAACACACACAAACTCACTCACATGAACACACACGGAACCAAAAACACCACAAGCGCAGATAAGAAGCACACTCAAACATAGTAGGCAGGCGCACAAGCTCAGGCTTACATACCTAGAAAGACACATGAGAAAAAAACAAATATAAGTACAACAAAACAGCACAACAAAAGCAGTGTGAGGCCCAGTGCTCTAACAAAACGCTCCGGAAGTACACACACAGACAAACAGAAGTGTTGGCTAGTCTTAATATTGTAGATCTGCACAGAAACACGGTGGTGTCAGGACTGGGTGATTTGTGGGTCTTGTTTTATCTACCCTGAGGAGGAGCTGTGTTGCTGGCCCTCTGCCATCAGTCAAAGCACACACTCACACGCAGACACAAACACATGCATGAAGCATTGTAAAGTGGCCGTTTGTTAGGATAAAAATATAACATTTTAGAGACACAAATACTAATAGAATATTATCACAGTAGACATACTTAGCTACAGTACTTCTGTGATTTGAAGAGTTAAACTAACTTCAGATTTAAACATTTAAAGTGTTTTAAAACTCATTTGGTTTCTATGTATTCCATTTGACTGTGTAAGTGATGAGATCTTTTTAAGCTTAAATTCAGTGACATTTTCCTTTCACAGCTTTCCTCTCTGCTCAGTTTTGGACTCAGACCAGGCATCGGCTTTGCCAGTAGCCAATAGACTAGTCCCATGGTGCCTGTGGTTGGCTTGTATGGTCAGGAGTTGTGTGTGCACGAGCATGTGTGTTTGTATGTGTAGGCATGAGGCAAAGCAAACAATGCCAAATAGAGATGGTAATGTTCTGTAATACTGTACCAGCCCCATGTGCCAGTGTAAGCAACCAGCATGCGTGTGTGAAATTCCCCTGTCCCCCAGTGAGACACTGGAAAACCCTGCGTATTCAGCCAAAATCACTACTGGGGCAGTCTCTTGCTCTCTCTCCCTTTATCTTTCTCTCTCTGTCTCTCTCACCCGCTCTTGTTTCTCTCAGCTCTCTCTGTAACAACACATATATGCGAAAGGTTTCTGGGTTTTGACAGCTGACATTCTGAATAAGTTTTACAATAACAAAGGATCAACTTTATGTGGCCACTACAGATAAAAATAAAAGCCTTGAGTGGTCCTGCAGCTCAGAACTGTTATTGACTGTAAAAATAAGCTTTGGTTTTCATTCTCACTTTATCAGCTTTTTCCTCTCAATGTTCTATAATTTGATTCAGTACAATACAATAAAAGTATGTTGAATTATATTTCCTTTATATTTTATATACATTTAATAACAGTATTAATGTGTTGTGTTTTTAGGCAATATCTTTTATTATTAATATTTGTCTTATTCTGTACCACCATGTGCGGAGGGTAGTCTCAACAGTAAAATTAAATAAAGACAAAAAAAAATACACATACTGAGGGAGTGAAAAGTGCCCAGAATTACACTTTTTAAAAGAGAGTGAAGGAGAAAAGGAGGGAGTGGGACAGACGAAAAGATGGATGGATGTATCTAAGTGTTTTCAGTGAAATATGAACAGAAATAATTGCTGTGCTACTCCCTCATCCTTAATGTTTAATACGCCATTATTCATCTTCCCTGCTTCTCTGAGCTCACACACTCACTCATTCAAACCACAGAAACCGGAGAAATGTGCTTTTTTTAGCTACGAAAATGTCGATTTTAGATTGAATCACTCTTGCAGTGTTGTAACTTATTTGATCTGATGGAGTGTTTTCCATCAAAATCACTTTGGTAGGCGAGGCATTCATTTATCAAAAAACGTTCATATGTATTTACTCCTGTAATGACAAACATAATAATACTATTATGTTAAATTGAGAAACAGTAACAATGAAAACAGTCATTTTAAGTGAGAATACCTGTTGCTTTATAACAAAGATATAAAAGTAAGTGTTGCATACATTGTTAAAATTTGTTGTTTGGTATAGGCCAGAGAAATGGAAAATACATCTTGAAGGAATGCCACAAAAAACACATCTGTTACATTACTTATGAAATGCATTTTGTCTTTAACTTAATAGTTAAATGGGGGAGTGGAGCTTTAATAAGCGCTGAATGATTTCTCTGTAGTTAATGTTACAAATTGTGTTGTTATTTCTAACTGGTTTGCACTGTTAGAATGAAAAAGGTAAGCAGTGACCTCAATAATGCCTAATGCCTAATCTAAAATTATTAAAAAAACAAATTTGTGGCTTCAGCCATTTCCTGCTTATCAATGATATGCCTTAGGAATAGCAAGAAATAGACTCTTATTAATCACATTTTTAGCAGTTCTAAAAAGTGACACTTCATAGAAAGAATTAAGCACTACTGTACAAAGACACCCCATGTGAATCGATATTAAGTATTGCCATCATTAGCTCACAATGAATTATTGCCTGCAATTATATAGATTATGGCATTAATCATGTGTTTAATTGGTCTTTTGTAGCCTCATTATTAATTCAGAACAGCAGGGAATAGAGTATGTTCTTTTATTTATTAATGTGTTTCCCCCATAGTCCATGCTCTGATTGGTCCCTGCTATAGGTGCAGGCATGTAGACATGGGAAGAGAGAACTTATCTTTTCATGTATCAATCCTGAATCTGTCTTTTATGAGAATCTCAACGTTACAATAACCTGACTGCACTGAATGATTTGTTACACAGAACCATCTGGGAAGTTGTTGTTTGGAAAAGGGCAGGCACTTTCAAAATATACTTGGCAGGTGATTGGATGTTCTGATATAACTGATGTCAGCAGCATCTATGCTCACCTCTTTAGCCGCCACCATTTTTGTTTTCGAGCGAACAGTCGTCACATACGTCGTCACATACGTCGTCACACACGTCGTCACGCACACCTAGGTTTAAATCGCACCCGTAGCTCATGCCGCAGCTGCCAGTAATTCCTCATAAGATGCTGATTGGTCCGCTACCACTGTGGTTGGACAGGGCAGAGCTTGAAGCCTGGCAAGATGAATTCCTGCTTAATATTGTGATTTTGTAATCTTGTGAGTCCAGCTGCCTCGCAAGGTTAACATTACAGTTTGTAGAAAGAGTTTTTCATCCAACTAGTTACCAACCACACTCTTCTCTTGTTGCCTGAGATCCACATGCTACCCAGCTGAATCAGCCCTGTCTGAACCCTGTTCTAGGCCTCAAGTCTGTCCTGCCTCTGTTGTCTTAATTGAAAAAAGGGTTTTCTCTGGGTCAACAGATATGTATTGAATTAATTGGTCTAATTAAGCAAAATAAGTAATCATTTAAATATTTACTGGAAGCTAAATTGGTGTAAGTGAAGCTCTACTATTGGTTAAAAATTTGCAATGGCAGTAAAACATTCATAAATTACTATTTTTCCTTCTTTCTTCAGTTGAAAATATAATTTTTTAAATTATACATTTTTTTCTGAAAAAAAATCTAAAATGAAAACATGTATATGTAAAAACTGTAGAGATTCTTCCAACTTAGAGATTCTTAGAGAACTTTCTGGCTTCGTCCTCCACACTGAGATTTGTGTAAGTTAAGTGTCCATCTGTACGTATATGCACTTGTGTATGAATGTTGGCCATATTTTGCAGCCTGCAGCCGGGGTTACTGGCTTAAATGATCTGTGTGTGTGTGTGTGTGTGTGTGTGTGTGTGTGTATGTGTATGTGTATGTGTGTGTGTGTGTGTGTGTGTGTGTGTGTGTGTGTGTGTGTGTGTGTGTGTGTGTGTCAGTGTCTGTGTGAACCTGATCTCATTGTTCCATCCCAGACGGTCTCTGCATTAGAGAGCCACAGACAGGAAGTCAAACTCTTAATTATTTAGGAGAGGTGTTATCAAAGCTCTCCTCTCTCTCTCTCTCTCTCTCTCTCTCTCTCTCTTTCTCTCTCTCTCTTTCTCTCTCTCTCTTTCTCTCTTTCTTTTGTTTTCTTGCTTCTTCTTGATGCATCATTGGTTCTTTATGTTTCTCATGCAAGTAAAGCAGATTTTGTCTTTCTTATTATCTTTTTTGATGCTTTTTTCTTCAGCATTTCTACTTTATCCTGTACATTCCATCGTACCACCCCTCTCTTTCTTCTCTTTCCCTTATCTTTCCATTTCAGCCTCTTTCATGTCTCTCAGCTGTCCTCACATTTTTTTCTCCTCTTATTCTCCTGCCTGGCATTCCCACCCTCTTTCTCTCTCTCTCTCTCTCTCTCTCTCTCTCTCCCTCTCTCTGTCTATGTGGTATATCAGGTAACTGGCAAGGTATTGTGGCCTGCGCCCATCATCCTATCATATTCTCTAATGCAAACAGGGAACGGCAACCTGTCAATAAAATGCCATTTTAAATCAGTTATTTTTACTGCACCACAGCAACAAACACACACACACACACACACACACACACACACACACACACCTATACACACAAACCTACTCACAAACCTAAGAGAAATACACAACAATAGTCTCACAATCCTGTCGCTTGTTTGTCTCAAATCTCAACCTCTCTCTTTGACTTTTTACTTCAATGTAAGCACCATCTCTTTACTCTGTCTTACTGCACACGCTGTGTCCAGCTTGTACGATGACAGTTACAGCCTTGTCTCACTCTGTGTTAGTGAACCACTGGCTGCTCACATCAAAACGCCCTCCACCCGTTTTTCACTTCCCGGTGATCACTGTTAAAATGATTGAAGCTTTCTCTGTCTTTCCATAATCAAGCACATAGGCACACATGTGTATGCGCACATATAAGTTTGCACACACACACACACACACACACACACACACACACACACTCTCTCGCTCTCGCTCTCGCTCTTTCTCTTCCTATTGCACACACACACACACACACACACACACACACACACACACACACACACCATGGTAGGCATGGTGTAGTTTCTTCAGCAGACCAACACTGCCCTCTTCAGGCTGAGTGTTAAAGTAATCTGAAACACACCAAGAAACATCAAAGGCAAGAGTGTGTTTGCATTCATCTGCTCTTGCATTTTGGTTTATATTCAAAATATCAGAAGACCAAGTGGTTGGAGAATCAGATGATGCTTTTGGCCTTGTAGTTCTTTTAGTTTCTGACTGATTAATCAACTTTTGCAAGCATGTTCTCTGATCAGTGTGCTCCATTTCTTGACCTTAGTTCAAGCTGTAATTGATAGGCATAGGCAATACATTAAAGCATTTTCAATATTTAGTTTCTACACACAGATCATTTTCTATTTTCACTACCCCTGAAGCCCTTGCTACACACCTTCATTTCCCCATAAAGTTGCCTACTTGTGGTCTGTTAAATATTATATCACAGCCATCCGTTCAGTTTTTGGCCCCCTTCTGACTCCCGTAGGAACACTGTGTCTGCTATATGTAGGGAAACGTAGTGAAAGGTTACTGCGTTATTCAGTGTTGCAACAAACGACATCACTTGCAGTGTAGATATCATTTACTATGCTAGAGTGCACATACGCATATACACACGCTTAGTTGCACAGTTAAATAGTGTAACAGAGCCTTACGCCTCAACCCTAGTACTTTCTTATGGCTGGCAGATTTCCTTTATTTAACCCAAACACAGGGCAACATTGTGAGAACATTTGCACAAACACACACATTGATCAGAGGTTGGGTTAAGCGTGGCAGGCTGCGAGGCATGTTAAGCAGGCTAAGCAGTAGAAAGAGACGTGAGGAAACCGTGGTGAAGCCCTCCGCTGTGCATTAGACTGTGTGTGTGTGTATGTGTTTGTGTGTGTGTGTGTGTGTGTGAGGGTTAGTGCACATGTTCTCTGCCGTCAACACAGGGTGGGTACCGACGTGCATATAGCAGCTGAGACACACAGTAGGGTGTCCCTCTGTCTCTCAGCCTCCACATATACACAGCTGGAAATACCACTAGATCATTTAGATTATAAGCTTAATTATATCATAAAGATGTTATTTTACATGTAGTACATTGTTGGTCTTTTTTTCACAAAATCACAGGTGTAATATCAGTGACATTAAATTCGGATCCCGCACCGTCTATTTGTCCCTCAATACTAAACATACGGAAGGAGAGCCATTAAATAAAAATAAAATTAACTCAATTCAATAAAATTTTATGTAAAAAAATAAATAAAATAAAATAAAAAATTAAGCTTATATAGTATTTGCTCTTTTTTGTCTGTTGAGCAGGATTATTTTTTAGTTAAATATATGTTATAATAAAACATATTAGTAGGTATGACAAAGAATGTATTAACTGAATGTGTCTGAATATTAAAACATATCTATCTAATCTATATCATCTATCATAAATCATTAATGTTGTAAAATATGTATTTCTTCACCTAAAATAGTGTAGATTTAAGGCAGAGATAAAAAAAATTCAGTACACTGTATTATGCAATGCCAAAGCCTGTTTTTACAGTCATCCTTTTGAAATAAAATCGTTTTAGTTTTTTCATTTTCCCTTGAATTTGATTTGTAAGCTGTTGTATGCCGTCGGCTAAGTGAATGACCATAAAACATCCAGTCAACCCCCATCACAACATTAAGGATTTGCATCCATCCATTCATCCTCATCCATCTACCTTACATCAAGAACCAGACAGAAAATATATCTGAAAGGAAACAAAGGTTGTCAATCACCATAAGTGGTTCTAACTTGAGGATAACTTTGTTTAGGTGCATAAGGGATTTTTATCAACTTCCAGTGTTTAAATCTTACTATCAGTGGTTCAATATAACACCAAAAACTAATTTCCTGTGGTTGCAGTTAAAGGACCACTCAGTCGCTATGTGATTTCTTTTAGACTGCATAGCAGGTGCCTATAAATAAATCATGTCTGGACGCTGTAGCCTAAACGCATACCGAGGTATCATAATTATCATAGATCAAAAGCTGATGACATTACAGCGTTGGACCGGTCCTATCCCATGTCAGTTCCGCGGCTGCCCATCTTTACGTTGTTTCATTATTGAGTTATGGCATGCATAATTTAACACCGACAGATATGGATCCATCCGTTGAGAGACTGTGGAAAGAACAGAGGGAGGGAGAGTGAAATGGATAGAGAGAGAGAACACGGTTGGAAAGAGAGCTAGGGATACGGGCTGGGCAAGCTTTCCTCCTTCTCTTTTACTTTTTCCCCTATTTTCCATTTTGTTGTCTGTCTTCTCTTCCTCTTTATCCCCTTATACCGCATTCCCCTCTGTCCTCCAGTTTATTGTGATGAGAATGAAAATAATCTGGGTGTCATAACTGTATGATTCATCCTCTGATTGTTTTGAGGATATATTCATACATATCTGTCTGCTACAGGTTTGCAGCCGTACACAGAATACAGCTTTGTGTTGGTGGCCTGTACAGCCTTCGGATGTGGAGCCAGTTTACCTTCCACAGGACGCACCTTGCAAGCCTCCCCTGCTGGTACACACACACACACACACACACACACACACACACACACACACACACATATATATATATATATATATATATATATATATATATATATAGGAACTCTGTTTAATTTCATGTAGTGTCATTTATACAGATGTCAGATCCAGAAAAATGTGAGACACAATGATGATCAGCTAATGTCTAATATTATATGAACACAAAAATAATACAAAATATTTGTGTATCTATTTTTGCTTTTAGTTGACATAGATAACTGGCAAAAATGTATTATTGTGAAAGCTCTTCAAGATATTACCATTTTGATGAATACTAAAATTCAACAATATCATTTGCATTTTGTAAATTGACCTTTGTCTATATCTTTACTGATTTATGCTTTCAGATATTTTACCTCTCCGCTCCTCTCACTTCTCTTTTCTCCTCCCACTGCTCTCCTTTTTTGAATCCTCCCCCTCTCTTGTCCTTCTTTGGTCTCCCTATGCTATATCTCGCTACCCTTCACCTTTCTCTTTCTCTCTCTTCGTCCTCACTGTTGACTACAGTGGAACAGGCCTTGTTTTGTCGCCTGACTGAAATGGCGTCATGGATTGTAATCCATTAAAGAACTTCAATCAGGATGATTTTGCCTCTCCCCTCTTCTTTTTTATTTATTTTCTCTCACTTCTCTTCCTGTCAACCGCTTTTCTTTTTTCTCTTGTCTCTCTTCTGTCATGATCTTTTCCTTCTGTTTTCTTTTTCTTTTCTTTCTTCTCCACTACTCTTCTTTCTTTCTCTCAAAACCTATTCCACATTTTTCTCTTCAGTTTAGATATTTGTCCTTCCATTTCTTTTCCATTTAAATATCTAATTCTTTCCCCTTGCACCTTTTTTTTTACCCCTCTCTTTACCTCGCCCTCCCCACCACTCCCCTCACTTATCCTTGTCCACTACATAATTTTATGTCAACTTAGAAAGATGAAGCTGTGTGACTGAAATACATGTTTGTGTTTAGATATTGGTAAAAAATATTTTTTTTTTTTTGCTTAAATGTTAAATGTCCTCCTGCACACAGGCAAATGGTTGAGTTTTAGTCAAATTTCCAGTATTGGATTAGTCTTCCTGTCCTATGTTCTTTTCTTCTCCTGGTTTCATTATAATCTGAAGACTTTTTCTCTTGTCATTATAAGAATTCACTCACTAATATTATAATCTGTCTTCAAATAAATGTCACTATTCAAATAGTGATTCAACCTTTCCTCAGTCAATGAAAAAACAAGCGTTTGTAGATTTTGGTATAGGAAAGGTCTTTCTCAGGAAGAACCTTGTTCGTGTACATGAGGTGATGCACAGCTTGTTTGAATAAACAGAAAAAGGACAACTAATTAATAATAGGTGCCAGTTAATAGATGTGTAGAACACTCACTTCCTCCTCTTCTTTCCCTCTTTTCTTCTCTAGGTGTTTGGTCAAAGCCCCAACATCTGGTAATAAACACATCTGTGGTGGAGCTGTACTGGGATCAGCCACACCAGCCTAATGGACATATATCCCAGTACAGACTGAGCAGAGACGGTCACACTATTTTTACCGGAGACCACCGTGACCAGAATTATACCGATACTGGACTCCTGCCAAACCGCAGGTAGAGAGCAGTTAACACACACATGAATGCAAACTTGTGCAAAGTCACACATGCATAAACACACTTCACTTGTAGCTTTATAATTAATCATCCCTTTAATTCCTTAATTTTCCCATTTGAGTGTATGTGTGTTTATTTTGGGGTCACCCTGTTTTAAAAGCTCTCCTATCGTTCCATCCACGTCTCTCTCTCAGGACTGCACTCTGTATATGTCTGTTTGTGTCATTTAATGAGTAAATATTTGACATACCAATGACAGACTTAAACATTACCACACACATGCACACACACACACACACATTAAAATCACAAATCAGATCTGGCTTTTGCTTACAGACAGCAGTGGAGCGTAGATTTTATTTATCTGTTTATTTTCATTTAACCTTTATTAATCCGTGTCTTTTTACCAAGATGGATTTTGTGTTTTAATTATGGGAGCGTAAAATGATACCCCCTCTCCTCCTCTCTCTCTTTCTCTCTCTCTCTCTCTCTCTCTCTCTCTCTCTCTCTCTGTCTCTCTCTCTCTCTCTCTTCGGCTTTTTCTCTCTCTCCCGAGACAATTTCTCTCTCTCCCGAGACAATTTCTCTTTACCCCAAATAGAATTCTTAGGATAACACCCTGCAGTACTCCAATCTCCTCTATGTGTGTGTGAAAGAGAAAGGGAGGAAGAAAGAAGATAGGACTGTGTGTGTGTGTGACGTTTAATTTTCCCTAATTCCAGATAGTCTGCCAGAAGGCATTCCTGTCCCGACCCTTCGCTTCTCATCACTTGTCTCGCTTCCTATTCACTTCCCTTTCCTCTCACCCTCCTTCGCCTCCCATCCTTTTCCTCTTACCTCATTCCCTTCCTCCTTTCCTTCTTTTCCCAATTTAGCCCTGCACCAAGAATTACACAGGGAGCACCAGCCCCATTATCCAGGCAGTGCGTGTTTTTGCCCGCGTGTGTGTGGGTGTGTTCCCACCCATGCCTTTCTGTGTGTGCACGTGTCTGTGCGTGAGACTGCTCAAAGTGGCCATTGATTATTTATGACAATGTTGATTAGCTGTCACTTTGCTTCGGCAGCCCAGGAAGTGTCTAAGATGACGAGAGAATTAACCTATTCCCTCTGGTTGGCCCCGCAGGACACACGCACACACACAGCCACATCTACAGCCAAACAGATGCAAATGCCCCACTCACCGATTACCCACTACCACACACACACACACACACACACACACACACACACACACACACACACACACACACACACACCATTTTACTTTTGATATCCCAAGGTGGTGTTTACATTTAAGTAAATATATTCCAGTGATGAAGTGTTTAAATTCATTCTCCCACTGAAACCTTATGCCATGATAAAACTCTCCCTCTCCATCACACTCTGTGCTTCACTCTCTTCCTCTTATGATTTCTCTCTTTCTATCTCTCTTTGCCATAGTTGGTGTGTCTCGCTGAGGTCTATTTATTTATGATTTTATCTGTTTGTGTCTATGGGAGTAACATATGAGTAGTTTTAATACCTTTTCCTGACTGCGTTCTAACCCACTGCAGAGGTGCTAATGGCCTCCTGTTTAAAATGCTCTGTGCGGGAACAATAACCCAACACCACCGTCTATTAATGCATGTGTGCTGGAGTTTATAGCAAATTAAAGGCTTTTAATGTTAAACGGTGGCCCACTTACACAGCTAATGTAGGCTTTAGCACCAGCCAGCCACGCGCTCTTAAAAGGGAAATCTATCTTATGATGTCATGGGCGAGAGAGGTAGAGAGTGGGAAAAGAGAGGCAGCAAGACAGATGAGAGAGAGACAGAGAGAGACAGAGAGAAAAAAGGTATATGACGGAGAGGGAGAAAGAAGAAGCTTATACACACACGGACACAAAAACACCCGTTTGAATCTATTTGCAGACCAGTTTCAAGAGGCCATGATTTCTGTGATTCTTTCAAGATGTTGTTTTAATGTATCAATTAATCACAAGTAGAAAGCCTACATTTCAAGGGATTTTTTGGGCAATGTCATTTAACATTTATGTCAGAAATGCATGCTTGTTCTATCTACTGTAGAGTAGAGCAGAGAACTTCTACTTAATAACATTTGTTGCACAATTGCCATTGGGGCATTTACTGAGTACACTGCTCCCTGTGCTTGCGACTATAAGTGTTTTAAACTTTATTTAAGTTGGGTTACCCAGTTCTGGCAGTGCATTTTTTCTCCAGCTCAATACACACAACATTGCTGAGTAACGTTGTTGCAGTTACCAGGGTTGAGAAAACTAACTTTTCACATTTTGGAAATCCAGCCTGAAAGCATGCAGCCTCTGTGGTTGTTTCATAATCTATGAAACTGCTGGTTCAGTTACTACCTGTAGTAAGATGACCATCTAGTACCAGTTTAAAAGCCCTCTTAACATTCAGACCTGATGATGTGCTGCTTAATGGTGCTGGGTGGAAAAAAACATAAACACAAATACAAGACATTTTCAAGTTGCTCATAACTGACTGGATTGTTGTGCTAAAATAAATTTTAGGATATATTTGAGATTTATAAATAAAACTTTCTTTCCTTATTTCCAGTCTAAGCCATGATCCCGACCAGGTCCTGACATGTTTGTTGGTACTGTTGTGTGAAACTGCCCCTTTAACACAGTCTTTCTGCATGTTTTCTCCTTCTCCCTTGATCCCTCATTTGTTTGTGCCCCTTGTCTGTTATCTGCTGTCTCCATACCCCTCTTTACTCCACCATGTCTTCAGGTATGTGTACGAGCTGGAAGCCAGTACAGAGGGTGGGACTGGTGTAAGTGACGAATACGTTATACAAACACCCGTCTCGTGTCCCACTGGGATCCCACCTCCCCACAATGTGACTGTGTTTGGCCCCCACTCCATCTCTCTTGTCTGGACCCCTCCTGGTGAGTAGCTTTCCAGATAGAAGGATGGATGGAAAATGTATTTAGTTTGAATGAGAATGCCATCACAGATTAGACACTTAGTTAGTTTCTGGCAATAGAATTAACTTGTTTATGTGTGTTAATGAGGATTTATATAAACTATGGCATATTATGTAGTACATGTGTATCTCAACTTGCTCTCCAGAAAAAAATATTACATATAATTCGAACATTTAGACTCAGATAAAATCTTAAACTAATTAAAACTGGTTGTTCTTTGGTATCATGAAATTATCCCGGGACCTGTTCCTATGTTAAGGCGCATTGACAACATAATTAAACAACTCTAAAATGGGAACTTACAGTTGGGAAATACATTTCAGGTATTGTGGCTCCTTCAAGTTTGCAACTCTGTTGGTGTTTGGACGTGTCATCAACCAATCAACCAAGCTTTTATGGTTTCATTGTGGGTAGTTGTGTGGTCACAGAATATTCACCAGGACAATTTATCACAGAGAACCAGAGGAGCTCAATTCAGTGTTTCTAACTCCTAACTCATTTTCTTGTGATTATTTCCTGAGATTACATTAAACAGGGAAAAGAGTTAACATCACACATATATACTGTATCTTACCACATAGTTATTTTGAAGTGATTTCCCAATAATTTAAATATGTTTGTCACTTTAATTGGATTTAGCTAAATAAGGCAGAAAAAATATATATACCACATTAACCCACATTAAACTGACCAGAGAGTCAGAGAAAGTTTTTCCTTTATGTGGATCAAGTCTTCCTCTGATATGGTGAGACAAAGAGAGGGGTCAGACTGAAACAAAAGCCCTGAGTAGTTTTCCATTCACCTTCTGGCCTCTCAAGACCTGGACACACACACACACACACACACACACACACACACACACACACACATACACAGGTTTACATGAGCATACACTCAGGGCTGAGTTTCATGCTTATGGGGCAGTGATTGTCTGCCCTAACCCATCTATCATTGACTATTACTCTCTCATTAGGCTGATTTCCTATCTCAGAAACCGCTTATAGGGCCAACTGGCAAAGACACTTCACTTTGTTGAATGTGGGTGTGTTGGTCTTTTGTTTCTGTATATTTGTGTTTATGCATGCATCTTTATACAAGTGTATTTGCGTGTGTGCATGTGCATATGTGTGTGTGCACATCACTGTGGAGACATTTCCATAGGCAGGCCTATTCTATCGTCATTACGAGTTGATTTTAAAGGTGAGGAAATATCGGCTGGGTTCTCACGCTTGGTTAACTCCCTGAGCCCAGAGTCTGGAGTGTTTTCGACTTGTGTGTGTATGTGTGTATGTGTGTGTGTGCCAGTCTCTTTGACAGTGCGTTTGTCTGTGTGTACGTACATGCACATGTGTTTGTGTCTTCATATGCATACATTGACTGCCAAAGCACTGACGTATGGCTATTAAAAAGACATTTACTCTGGGATCAATTCCTCCATCGTGGTGTTTGTGTCTGTCTTTGTGAGAGTGTGTGTTAGAGACGCTTTGTATGTGTGCATGTTTTTTTGTATGTAAGTGTACGTCTGCGCATTTGTAATTGTGGGTGTATGAAATAGATGATGGTGAAGCAGCTGATTGGTTGTAAATAATAGAACTGAAATATCACGGTGACGATTAAACCTCTATGGCTGAGCATCATTCTGATCAAAGAGAGATGAGTGAGCGTGTGTGTGTGTGTGTGTGTGTGTGTGTGTGTGTGTGTGTGTGTGTGTGTGTGTGTGTGGTCATCACGTAAATATCTTTGAGTGTGTGGTGTTGTGTGTGTGGACTGCATGAAAGTGTGTTAATGCACCCAAAGTGTGCTCATATAAAAAGCTCCATGTGCTGAAGTCAAAGGTGTGTGTGTGTGTAGATGTATGTGTGTATATGTGAGTTGGGAGGTGAATAATTGAAGTCTTTCATTTGTCTGGTAATCAGTTCGTTCTCGAGATATCCAGAGTTCATGAATGTTGAATAACCCATCACAATACAGTTGGCCTGAATTATGGAAAAACCTCCTGTGAGAATATTAACAAAGTCTAGGTGCGTGTGTATCTGTGTGGGTGCTTCTGTATATATACATTTGTGTGTTTTTGTCTGGTTGTGAGACCACAGTGCCAGTATTGTAAGGAACGGATCAGTCAGAAGATAAATATATGAGCAAATATCATCATATCATCAATCACATAGTGTGCAGATACTCATGTTTATTTATATACAACTTTAAATGATATAAATGTATATATACAACACAGTTACGGCATTATAGACTTACTTAACATGACCATGATCCAAAATTTCCAGGTGGATTAAGACTTCCTTGACTCTGCCCATAAATAGTGGATTAAAATAAACTCACTCAGTCATGCTCTTATTTAGCTTATAAAGCAGAGAAAAGTTGACCATCTCAGTCAACTTCCGTTCTGCCATATAGTGTACATGGTACCGCTTTTTGTCCTATTAGCAAAAAATACACTTTTTATAAACACTGCTTTTATGATCAGCTTGATGAAATGTAAAATTACATCCTGCTTTTTTGTTTCAGTTGTAAATGCACTCCAGCAGAAACACACAGCTAACTAAAGGTTATCATATCCTGTGTGTCTTTTTCCATTTCCACAGCTCACCTCATCAGCAGCCAGCCTGTAAACTACAACATCCTGTTAAATCCAGGAAGTGACAGAGCCGTAATGCATCATGCTGGACAAGACCTGCACCTCACTGTGGCTGATCTAGAGCCATTCACCACCTACTACATCAGAGTGCAGGCCTGTCAAATTGGTAAATATTTGATTACACTAATTTAAATTTCAAAGATTTACTTTCCTTAATAAGACAAGTCATATGTGGTAAAACAACAACAACAAAGTTCTGAAAATAAATAAGAGACTCATAATCATGAACAGTGTCTTTGCAAAGCTGCCCACAGAAATGTGCATGAACTTACAAAATGAGGAAGCCATTTCAATTCACAGTTTGAGGGTGGTTGAAACGGCTAGATTTAATCTCTGTGGCTATTAAAGATGGCTACTGCATCATGTGATTTGAGGGGTGAGAAGACCTGATGCAGTCTGTGGTTAGCCAGTCATTAAATAGAGATGTTTAACTGCAGCTAATGGCCCTGCCAGTGCCCAATCTCACACATGCTTATAGATGTGATGTACATACACTGCCCGATCCCCCAAAAAAGTTGCACACTGTAATATTTCGTTGGACCGCCTTTAGCTTTGAGTAGGGCGCATTCACTGGTGCAGCGTTTTGATAAGCTTCTACAATGCCACAACATTTATTTCCGCCCAGAGTTGCATTCATTTTCCGCCAAGATCTTGTATGGATGATGTGAGAGTCGCACTGCTGTGCAAAGCCTTCTCCAGCACATCCCAAAATATTCTTAATGAGGCTGAGGTCTGGACTCTGTGGTGGCCAATCCATGTGTGAAAAGGATGTCTCATGCTCCCTGAACCACTCATTCACAATGTGAGTCCAATAAATCCTGGCATTGTCATCTTGGAATATGCTCGTGCCATCAGGGAAGAAAAACTCCATTGATGGAAAGACCTGGTCATTCAGTACATTCAGGTAGTCAGCTGACCTCATTCTTTGGGGACATAAGGTGACTGAACCTAGACCTGACCAACTGCAGCAACCCCAGATCATAACACTGTCCCCACAGGCTTATATGGTAGGCACTATGCATGATGGGTGCATCACTTAATTTGCCTCTCTTCTTACCCTGATGCGCCCATCACTCTGGAACAGGGTAAATGTGGAATCATTAGACCACATGACCTGCTTCCATTGCTCCAAAGTCCAATCTTTATGCTCCATAGCAAATTGAAGCCTTCTTTCCGATTAGCCTCACTGATCAGTGGTTTTCTTATGGCTACACAGCTGTTTAGTCCCAATGCCTTGAGTTCCCTTCGCATTGTGCATGTGGAAATGCTCTTACTTTCACTATTGTGAGTTCTACTGTTGATTTCTTACGATATGAATTCACTAAACGTTTAAGCGATTTTTTTCGAGAGTTTTTTCCGACCACATTTCTTCCTCGAAGAGGATGGTTCACCACTATCCTTCCAGGTTTTAATAATGCCTTGGACAGTTCTGCATTCTCCTTAGTTGTTTTCTTTGCTTGATGCAGGCCAATAATTTGACCCTTCTGAAACTGATTAACATCCTTTCCACGATCACAGGATATGTCTTCCGACATGGTTGTTTAAGAAATGAGAAGCCTCCACCGCATCAGTTAGGGTTAAATAAC